AAAAAAAAAAAAGGATTTTGAACAGTTCATAAAAACTGATATTAAAATGATTAATAGATAAGGTGATTATTTATTAAATAACTTTTTTGTATTTAATTTTAAATAATTATTTTTTTCTATATTTTTCTATATTTCCTTAAAATGAAAAATTCGCAAAATTGTTTTTTCTTCTTTGACTTGAAAGATTTTATTAAAGTTTTCGTTTACAAACGTGACGATTAAAAATATATTAATATATATAATTATATTATATATTAATATAACAAATATAAATGTTTCACTATTTATTTTTTTTTCTTTATTATTATTATAATTATAAAGTGTATTTAAAATAGGAAAGAAAACATTTTTCATCGGAGATAATTTTAATAATTTAATCGTTCGAACCAACATATTTGCGCAACACATGACACACTTATTTTATAATTACAATTTTTTCTATCTATTAATATTAACTTCTCGAAATATTTCTTTATTGCGAAAGAGATTAATTGTTCCATCGTATTCCATTCGACGATTAATTCAATAAAACACATTTCTCACTTTTTTAACAACTTCTTTTATTAAGGATAAAAAAAATCTTAAATGCAGACATTTTTTAAACATTTTTTCTATATCTTCATTCATTCATTCTTCTTTCTCTCTCTCTCTCTCTCTCTCTCTCTCTCTCTCTCTCTCTCTCTCTCTCTCTTTCTCTATTCATTCTTAGCAAATAATTAAATCAGTCAACCATAGAAAAAAGTTCCCTAAAGTAGCAATGGAAACATTTTCTAACGAGAAGAAATAAAAAAAAGTTTACAAATAAGAAAGTAATTATCCAAGAAGAGGATTTGAAAAATTAATTCTTATTGCTAATAGAAACTTTCTGTTGATAAGGATATCAGATAAAATGAGAAAATAAGAAAAAGATACAAAGATGCTTGGATCGTGGAACCAACCATTAATTGCATTAATTTAAGGACATTCAGTTTATATATTAGTGGTCTGTGATTTAGCACAACGCCGATGTCACGGATAAAATATAATAGTTTCGTATTATATCTCATAAACTTTTGGCGGGTTGTAATCAAAGCTTAACACCAACTAAGAAAAAGAAAATGATACGTAACTATAACTTCTAGATTGAATAGTGTTTCCCTACAATCGAATCATCGATATATTTATTAACTTTTGACGATACAACCGATTGATTGGTTAAATTGAGTTTGAAATAATAATGCAAATTATGAGAACAACCGATTGATCGGTTAAATTGTGTTTGAAAATATAATAATGCAAATTATGAGAATTATGCAAACTATTATATAATTATTCAAGGAAGAAAAGAATTAAAAGATGTTTTTTATATTAATTCAAAAATAATATATAATATAATATAAAAATTATTTTATTCTCTCCTTTATGATATTTGATATCCTATTAATTATTTTTAATTCTATATTTTTTTATTCGATTGTGCTTTCCTATCGTTAAAAAATTCTTATATAGTTAACATAATTTGTTTTGTCTTATTTAAAAAAAGAAAAAAATGAAATAAAATATAATAATTATATATGTATATTTAATAAATTAAAATAGATTCAATTTTTTTTTATAAAATTAAGATAAATATAAAGATAAAAATACATAAATATATAATTTATATTCTTCATATATATGATTAAATATTAATAATAAAATTTTATAAAATATAAAATACGGTACTAATACGGTACTAATATAGATATATATTTTTAAATAACTTGATAATAAAAAAATAAAAATTTTACAAATAAATTTTACAGATTTTAAATTATCTAATTATCTTATTTAATATTTCATTTCATAATTTCAAAAGAATTATCTGTAACGTAAAACTTGGAAATCAATTATCAATTATCTTGCAGAGCCATATTATTATTATTATATATATTAGTTGAATAATTTTTATGTATTAGTTGATTTTTTAAGCATTATACGCAATTGCACTTGATATCTATTAAGAATTATATGTAAATAATTAGAGGAATATATTGAAAATATATATTCTAGTAAATATATATAAATATATATATTTCTAGTAAATATTAATGACTACATATAGTTTCTTTTGACACAAGTTTATGATTTAATTGCAGGAAATTTGGCTGGTCGATTGTCAATTAACATCCTGCTAGTTGTAATATATCTGGCACTAATCAACATGTTTAATTGATCGTTTAATCATTAAGGTAAGTAAATTAATGTAATATTTTTTTGGAATCATTTTAAAATCATTTTAAAATCAATTTTATTTCATTCAATATTTAGCACTTTAACATCTGTTTATTTAACGTCAGTTTTATCTATCTTTCTGAAATTTTATAAACAACTCAAACAAACAACAAAATCAAATTTTATAAACAACTTTATTTGCATAAAACTTGAATAAAACATCAAAGACTTTTGTATTTTTTTTAAAAATTAGAAATGCAAGTAATTTCCATTTGATCTTTTATATTTTTTGACTAACGATCTACTTTGTCCAATTTGACAAAGTTTAATTTAATTAGTTTAAACTTTTTTAGTTTGAACCATATTTTCAAAGATTTCTTGCTTCGAAATAATTAATTAAAAAAGATTAATTTATATATTTATAACATAATAAATATTTTTATTTTTAGTTTTTTCTTTGAAAATCTTTTTGACATAAAAACTCTTTAATAAATTATCATTTAAATACTTAATAATTTTCTCTTTAATTTATATTTTCATTATTCTTCAAATTTTTGCTTTAAATTATGTTTAACGAAAAAATAAATGCTTCGCGTAAATGCATTATTCATAAATGCAATATCGCATTTAATAATTAATAAAGTTAAATAATTAGATATTTAATATATACAAAAATGGTTCGTTATATAAAAATTGAATAAATTCACTTAAAATTTAACTTATTACATCTTAATTTAATAACAAATCATATCTTAAAATTATACGATGAATGACAATATCCTAAAAATATCAATGAAAGTTTTATATTTTAAAATTTGGAAAACAGAAATAATTAAAGACAAATTATCAACTGTACTAATTCTTTATTGCGAGTGATTGAATATATAGTAAATAATATACTAAAAATATATAGATTAAAATTGTAAAATAAAAATAAGTATAGAATAGTTTAAATTAAAATATGAACAAAATTGATTATCCTAGAAGTGTTTACGTATTTGTATAAAATTTAAAATGAATGAAAAAATAAATAAATAAATATATATATATATATTATTATTATTATTATTATATTATATTATATATTATTATATTATTATTATTATTATTATTATATTATTATATATATATTATATATATATTTTAATATATATATATATAATATTTAAATTATTATTAAACTTGTTAGAGTTATTATCATATACATTTAAAAAAATTTTATTTCTTATAAATTTTATTTAAAAATACAAATTCACTTTGATACAATAATTTTAAATTCATTATTGAAATTATCTGATTTCAGGTTACCGCCTAAAATGAAATTTGAAACGACTTGGGAATATGTACGTGTAAAAATTCATCATTTCGATTTATCATCTACTACACCTAAGATACTTATCGACAAACACAGTGTGCCCATTAATGTTGTTTCACAAAATAAAGTCAAGTGTCGAACGTTGAGCATCGATCAATATTCACATTCATTGTTCATATGAAATTTTGTTTATAATTATATATATATATAAATACATCAATTAACAAAAATAACAAAGATACATCATAACGCGCTGTTTATAGAATATTATTCTACAATGAAATCCTAATTTAGCGTGGATACGATTTAAGAAAAAAAACCAAAGATACAGAGATCGAAAGATCAGAAAGAAAAAGAAAAGGAAAAATTCATGGCGTTGTAAATAACGTTCGAGATTTGATCATATAATACTTCGAATTATATTGTAGATTGTATTTGTTACTCTTCGTGTTACATCAGATTCATAATATATTGAATAAAATGTATGGAAATTTAAATACGATATACAGCAGATAAGATATATATATATATGAAAATGATATGATGAAACAAGACACACAGAAAAAGAAAGAATAAGATCGAAGTAAATATATATTGATTATACGTAATTTGAATGTGTAATTATTTTAATATATGTAAATAGCTGCGACAATATGCGGTATCGAAATCCGAACAAAAATGAATATTTAAGAAAAAAACAACATAAAGTGATAACATCCTTGCTTGAGAAAACGAAATTGTACAGTTTCTGCGGTGATATTACGAATAATTTATTATTATACATGTTATTCCTAATCGCGAAACATAACAATTATCTGTAACTATAACAATATGAGAGATATCTTAATGGAGAAAAAATAATTAAAATTATTTCGATATGTCAGAACGTTATTACGCTAGTAAAGTTGCACTATATGGATCAGTTTAATTTTTTGATCAATTATAATTAAAAAAACTTGGAAAATTCATTCAGATATTTCTATCTTTCTGATTTAGTCGATCCAATGAAAAGACCAAAAAATTAACATTTAATTTTGTCAATAAAATATTTAATTGCTATTTTCATTGTTGAATTGTACCAAAGATAAAAATGTGAAAATATTCGATTGAATAAAAATTCAAGCTATGTGCAGTAAAGTAATTAATTAAATTAGGCCTAATTTGTAATATATGTTTGCTTGTACACGAATAAAAAAATAAAATATCAACCAGCTTTTTGAAAAAAATTAACGTTAACGCTAGAACTATATAATCAAACAAATATTTTATTTTTATTAATTTTATTTATTAAAAATATGTAAATACTTTAAAAAAATTATATTATTGAAATTATTATTAATAATAATTAGTAATTGTTAATAATTAACATATCTCATTAATAATAGACGTATCATTATTATTCAATTAATTTTTATTTATATGTATAATTATATATACGCGTAACATAAAATTATTTTCATAATACAATTTCAATTCTTATTGTTTATCCTATATACAATATGTACATAATTATAGGTATATATTATGGAGAGCAAGTTCTAGCATTAACCCATTGAAAATTAAAATTACTTTTCGAATAAAGAAGAAATATATATTCTTTATATATATTTGAAACAAATAAGAAAATAGAATGTACTAAAGCTGCGTTGTGTAATTAATCAAGTCGTTAACCGAATTTAATCGTTTAAAAAGCTTATATTAATCGTTTAAAGCTAAATAATGATGCACATAATGAATAATACTATAACTAATAACATTAAACAAAAAAAAAATAATAAAGAAGGAAAGAACGAAAAAGATTATAGTTATTATAGTTGTAAATAAATTCTCTATAGCACTTCTAGTCCTTCAAATATGAGAAATCTGTCAGACAAAGAAAGAAAAAAAAAGAAAAGGAGGAAAGAAGAAAGAATTCTGTATTATAATTTCATGTACAATATCCGTGATTTCTATTTATATAAATATTTAAAAAAAAAGAGAGAGAGAGAGATTTTCATATTTGAAAAGTGAAATACATTTCTGTATTTGTATGTAAAGATATTGAGCAATGTACCTATGTATCATTCGATATTTTGCAAAATATTTGTATCCTTCAAAAACACATCTAATCTAAAGTAATCGATAATTAATATTCATCTTTTTTTGATATATTAAAAAAAATGGAAAATAATGGCACAAGGAGCATTATGCAAGAACGTATAAACGAATTGAACTTAATTTCCGGAGGACAATATCGGAAATATACATATGTATATGTAACGTGTGCCTCAAATTAATATAGAGTAGTAATAATTTCTCTTTTACAATTTTAATAATTTTTACATATAATTTAATTCTTGTTGTCTCGTCAATATTTTTAATAACTTGATTATTCTTAATTATTATTCATTTTTCTGTTTTAATTAATTCATAATTAATTCATTTCAATGTCGTTTTTCTTTTTTCTAACATTAAAATCGTTCAATAATCCTTTCAATTATTAGGGAATAATTTTTCATCGAAAATCGAGCACGCGATTTCGATTACCAAATTTTAATCTTTAATTTAAGCGTTTCATTGTAAAAAAATTCTTCGTCCCTCGATGTTTTTTATAATATTTTAAAATAATGTTTTTCATAATGTTTAAAACTTTGAATGAAAATGTAAATGATTTTAATAAATGAATTTTCAATTTCAATGATATTATTTCTTGTGTTTATTTTTTTATTTTTGTTTTATTTCTATCGCGTTCATTATAAGATACTTGATTTTTATTTAATCTACCTAATAAAATTTTGATTACTTGATATACTTGATTCAAATTTTCTATTTATTTTTGTATATCATAAGAATTAATATTCGAGAACTTATTGATTATCCTGATAATAACCTTTTGCAAATTACACTCTAAAAAAATTAGTCAGTTCAAACAAAAGACTCGTAGTAAAAATAATTTTGTAAAACAAGAGTGAACAATTTAATGATTCCGACAGTGTTCAATTCAAAATATTAAAAAAAAAAAAAATTTCGCTACAGGCCAAATACTCATACGCAAAGGGTTGAATTTTCTAATTCTTGTATAACAAATTAAAAGAGAATAATACACAATGATATTTATTTAATTCACAATAAATGTCAATAAAATAGATCGATCTAAAATAAAATCTAAAATACAATATAATACAATTATTTACATGAATTCTATTAACCTTTTGCGTCTGTGTACTTCGAATAATTAATACCACGTAATTTTATACGAAGCCTTATGTCTTATAATTACTTCTGTAAATAATGCATGAATATATTAAAATTCACTTATACGTATAGGGATTGTAAAGAAATTTTCGATACAAATTTTATAGAATAATAGAACTTATTGAAAAGAAATGAAAAATATTTTAATAATGATAATAATTTTTATTTAAAATAATATTTTTCATTTAAAATACTTTCTAACTATTTATTTATTATTATTTAGAAATAGATAATGTACATAATTTTGTACATAATTAAAATAAAACGATTATCAAAATTTAGAATTTAAAAATTTGTATTTATACGTTTTAAAAAAAATTAATAACTTTCTTTAAAAAAATAATTCATAGAAACACTTCTCTTTTATTTCAATATGTTCTATCGATATATACATATAAAACTTGTAATCATAATTTCTTTACTTCTTGTATACACATCGATAAAATATTTCAAAATTGAACAGAGCATTTCTAAAAAAAAAATATATATATATCGTTTGCAAAAAATAAAAAAAATTTTCATTGTAATTAAAAAAATATTTTATGATTTTTTGATTTGTTAACGATGAAAAATATTAGAACTAGAAATAATAAAAGAGAGATTTTAAATATCTTTTAAATATTTATCGAATTAATTATATAATTTTTATAATAAAAAGAATACGAATACATTCGTTTATAATATTTTCTATAGAAATAAAAGGAATATGCTTTTATGATTATCTCTCTTATAATAATATTATCTCTGTGTAATTTTGAAAAATATTATTACATATGCATTCATATATACGTACATCGAACTCGAACAATTCACAAATATATAAGAAAAAATTTATTATCTGAAATAATCAATTTAATAACAATAAAAATAAAAAATAAAAATAAGAGATATTAGATCTCTCGATAATAAGAGAGGGAAGAGAGGGGAGAGAGAGAGAGAGAGAGAGAGAGACAGAGAGAGAGAGAGAGACAGAGAGAGAGAGAGAGAGAACAATATTAAAATTATATATTTCGTGATATATAAAATAAAATCAGATAATAAAAACAGTAAAATAATGGAAAATTATTAAATGATAATGCTAATTTGAAATAAAATACCGAATATTGTCCAGATTGCAAAGAATTATAATTAATTTTCACATTCACAGGATTACATTAACCAAAAAGATGAAAAATTTATTCAACATATAAATATTCAATTAATATAAATCGTGTATAGTTTGTGCCAGATGTACGTTTTTATGCTGAATTACAATTAGCAAATGCGCAATGAAATCGCGACCAATTGTATTAACGTCATTCATGTAACTATAATCCATATATTGTATGTATATATCTGTGTATAAATGCGAATTAAAACAACTATTGAGATAGAGATTATTTCGTACTAAATACAGATGTAATCAATGTTACACATATGGAATTGCATTTACAAAGTGTACTCGCTTAAGTCTATGGATTCTTCGAACAATTCGATAGCAAAAGATTATTTACTGATTTTGTTATTCCTGTTTGATACAACCCTTCGTTTCATTCCACTATCAATTTTGAATATACATATATTATACTATTTGATTACGTTTAATACTTAATCAGAATATAAAAAAACAAAAACAAAATCATTTCTTTTTTATTATTTAATTAAAAAATTTTATTATATAATTTTATTCTATAATTTGTCTCATTTTTACGATTCAAAATATTATTTGTTTATTTGTTTTAACAATAATATGAAATAAAAATCAAAATTTTAGAAAAATCAATAAGAATTATTATAAGAATATATAAGAATATTAAATTGAAATATAAAAACTTTATTATATTAAAAAATACAAATTAGTATATTTTTCTCTATATCGATAGTTTTAAAACTAAAAATTTTCAATTATACCATTACTGCGATAAATATTTGTTTTTCTTTTCTTTATATTTTAATTTTTTTTATAATTGATTTATTTCAATCGAAGTTATTTAATATGATATTAAAAAAAAAATTGTATGAATTTTCATTAAGATTTTCATTTGTTATCGTTTTATCATTTATTTTATCTGTTTATATAAATATAATATATTCGTAATAATATAAAGCTTATTTAAATAGCTTTAATTTAAATATATTTTAAAGAATTATAATTCAAAATTTATTCCAAATAAGATAATATCATAAGATAATAAATTTGATAAGATTAATTAAAAAGTTCAATATTTTTTTATTAAATATTCATATAATTTGTAATTTATTCCAATGAAATTAATGTGAAATATTAAATTCAAAATATAATAAATGAAAATGAATTTAACAATATTTGTATTATTTTTTCTCGTTATGAAACGAAAGGTTTATGAAGCATATGATGAAATGTTATAAACAAATAAAATACGAATAGAATTTTTATTGTGATTGTTGCATATTAAATATACAATTAACAAGTTGAAATAATTAATAAAGTAATTAAAAAACAATTTGACTGCTATATTAAGTTCTGATTAGCATTCATTTTATCAAATTGAATCATGTAATATAATCGCCTATCTTTTTTTCTCATGACAAAACGATAAGAAAGGCTTTATTTGAATTTTCTAATCATACATTAATTAAAAATATTATTATTATAATCGAGATAATTCAAAATATCATAAAAATATAAGAAAATGAAAAAAGTTATCACTATATATTTTCGCTGTGTTTTATAAATAAATAAGAAATATATAATAAAACCAAAAATATATGTATCGTCTATTATTTTATAAATAAATTGAAAGCTATGCTATTTATAATGTATATTGTAATGTATTTGTATGAGTATAACTCATTGAATTAAATAGCAAAAATATTTTTCGTACCTTTCGAAATATATGAAAAAAAAAAAAAAAAAAAAAAAAGAATAAAATTATCAAAAACATTTATCAAAGAAATGAAACTTTA